TTCACATTAATGTGATTTTGTGCAAATGGTACTCAAGAGTGCAGATCTGAAAACAAGAGCTATCCCACAGAATATTATAATTATTAGCATTCTCATCATTGAGACTTTCAAACGGACACAGGAGAAAAACACTTCTTGGTTTAGAAGGTTTCATTTAAAAACAAATAACCTACACAAAACCAGAGGCAATTAGTTTCAAAATTACCAAAACACAGTAATAATTTAGTCCTTATTTCAATTAACAAATGGGAATGCAGGTATGGCTTGCTCTCAGAGTACTCCTCAAAAGTCGTAATTAAAATTAATTAAATGTCAAATGCCTTAGGAGACCTCATTAATTAGTGGAATCCTGAGCGAATCTTTTTGTAGAGCAATTACTTTGAAAAATAAATAGTCACTTCCAGATTAATCTTTTTAGTACCTAAACCTGAATATTACCATGTCAGATTTATTTAAGAAAATCTGGCTTTTAATGCCTTTTCTAATGCTAACATTTGATACAGGGCAAAAGCCCAAAGAAAAAATAATATAAAAACTCAGTCAAATCAGTTCTCACAGCCACTTCCCTTAGTTTATAAACAAACATCTTTTTATAGCTTTTTTCCTAACTTTGGTAGTCATGTGAGGTCCCTAATTCTGTAGGGTGGATACCTCCAGGTGGTGACACCTGGTTACACCGTGACCTAGCCTAGCCATGCTGAGGAACAGAATTTGCCAGGACAACTTGTTAGTCTTTTTTTTTTTTTTTTTAAAGATTTATTTATTTATTATTTATTTGTCAGGGGCGGGGGAGGGAGAGCATGAACAGGGGGAGCGAGAGCATGAACAGGGGGAGCGGCAGGCAGAGGGAGAAGCAGGCTCCCCCCTGAGCAGGGAGCCCGATGTGGGGCTCGATCCCAGGACCCTGGGATCATGACCTGAGCTGAAGGCAGACGCTTAACCGACTGAGCCACCCAGGCGTCCCAGCAACTTGTTAGTCTTAATATTTCTATTCAGGTTTGTCTGGGAATTTCAGTTTCTTGACGTGAGCTTGCAGCCTTAGGGCTACATGTGGCTTTTTCCCAGGTGCTCTAAAGCTCTTCAAAACCCCAACTGCCCCCATGAAAGGATTCGACATTACTGGGGTCCAGGATGCTGAGCATTTCTGTACCTCTTTGATGAGTACAAATCTGGCTCCACAGCTGGGTAACTATAACATTAACACCTAGCTTATCAAATGGATATTTTAATTAGCAATAATCGTGCCTCAGATGGGAAGAATGTTTTGTTATTTTTAAACCCAATTAGGTTTTTGTAATATCTCAGAGACCAGTAAAATGAAACTATCACACATGCTTTTGGAATGTGGGGACAAAGGGCCCCTGCCTGGGTGCTGGGCTGACTATGGAGGGAGATGGGCCTGTTCCCGTCAGCCTCCTTGACTCTTTGAAGAGGTCTTACACCCTCATTAAGAAAGGACTGAGGGAAAAAACCTCCCAAAAAATCGTTTTCCATCTGACCCTAAATTGGAACCTGTCCCATATTGAGTTACGGCTACTATTTACTGAGTGCTTACCAAGTGCCAGGGAACAGTGCCAAGTACTTTGCACAGTACAACAATGCAATGAAGAAGCTGTTATTCTCCCCACGGAAACTGACTCAGGGAGGTTAAATATTTTGCCAAAGGTATGAAGCTACTATTTAAGGGTGAGGAGGATTCAAATCCATGGCTCCTTTTTTTTTTTTTTTTTTTTTAAAGTAGGCTTCACACCCAGCATGGCGCCCAGCGCGGGGCTTGAACTCATGTCCTTGAGATCAAGACCTGAGCTGAGATCAAGAGTTGGATGCTTAACCGACTGAGCCACCCAGGCGCCCCTCAAATCCACGGGTCTTAAAGTGATGTTACATGCCTCTAATTAGAATTGCAGCACAATGCGGGAAACACAGTAAGCGTTATCGCTGAAGGGGAAAGATTTATTCTCACGGTCACAGAAAGAAACAAAGGCCACCAAAATGTGCTGGAGACAGAGCACAAGTACGTGTTATGACTTCAGACACTGAAATAGGAAGGGAAGGAGGAAGAGAAGAATTAGGAGAAAAGGGACAGGTGGACATGCAATGGAGCCATTCTATCCCTGGATGTTAACACGAATGGGTCATGCACTGTGGCAAGTAGACTGCATTTGCCAAGTACCAGCTTTGCTTCCCTTACTATGAAAGACATGCTTTCTTTGACTCTGTTCCATTGCTCCAGCACCTTCTGTCCCTAAAGACCTGGTGGGAGTTGTCACCTTCCCAGATGATGTCTCACTTGAAAGCTTATCACTGTATTTAATTATCAGGCAGGATAGCTGTTAGGTACATGGTATGTCTTTCTCCCAGGACTCACTCCAGTATAACTTTCCAGAGAAGTTTTATTTAATTCTGTGGGAACGCTTGAATTTATGCCCCATTAAAGTTCCCTTTTGAAAATTACAAGCTGAAGCCACATCTAACAATTATGACATTTCTTTGGATCCCACATAGTTCCTAAAAATGGAAAACTCATTTCATGGTCACAGAGCCAAGAAAATATATGACTTCATTGGAAATGCCTAATTTTTTAAAGTAAATTAAGTGATTTCAGGTGTTTAAAAAAATTTTTTTAAGATTATAGCATTCTATAAACACTGGACATGCTCTGAAAAGACTCTCTTGTAAGACATTACATCTGAGACTAGAGACCAAAATCTCCTCCTGTGAAATTTGCTTTTGCTTTCAAATTTAACTCTCATATTTTTTAGTACCAAGGTCAAGAACACAGCCTCTTAATATTTATGTTCTTACTCATCTTTTATTACACCATAGAAAAAACAACTGACGCTAGCTTCCTATTTCTAGACTTAGTTACATAATGACTTTGGGTATGACCATTATGGATGAGTCAATCAATCATCTGACAAACATGAGTTCCCACTATGTGCCAAGTAGGACCAAAGTTCTATAGGAACAGCTCACCTGGTCACACTCCTATTGAAGATCAGGGTTCCAAGCTTCCAGTAACATCAAATACATAGTTGAGTTGAGACACACTGACCACTGCTTACTTTCCAGGAGGACTGTCCCCTTACTTTTTACCTGCTTTTTTGGGGGTGGGTTGGAGTGGGGGAATATCCTCTGACATGAATAAAAATACCAAGGACTCTAAACTTCACCAAAACTTCCCCGAAATTTCCCACAGCCCCTACTAGGTACTGGGATCTCTGGGCTTGTGTCTTGAGGTCTACAGAAGATCCTCCAACGAGCAAGGTAAAATCCAGGTCTGCAATCTCTGGGGAGTTCCTGCATCTTAGAGCAAACAGCCGGGGTGGGGGAGGAGTCCCCCTCAGGAAACTCTGTAGCAATGAGGTCCCTGCATGGACAGCTAAGCAGGATGCCTGCCCAACATTCAGGGCTGTCCATGACCTGGCTCCAGCCTTTTCAGCCATCACTCCCCTTCCATACATTCTAGTCACCCTATTCTACCAACTCAACAGCACTTTCTGTTTTCCCTCACCTGTCTGTCCCAGCTTCCTTCCATACCTTTGCTCATGCTATTCTGTCTGGAATGTCCTTCTTTCTCATCTCTGCTCTTTTAACTCATGCATGTTCCCTCAGCTCATTTAAAATGCCATTATCTCCATGATGACTTCTCTCATGCATCACCCAACGAGAAGTTTCTTTCTCCTCTGAATTCCCACACATCGTGTCTATCTCTCTTCTGTTGTTTATCACATTTTAACTTGTATGACAGTCATTGCATTTCATTTGTTAACTTCCCTATAAAATTGAAAGATACCAGAGTCCAGAGTGCAGGTCTTATTTATGGTCCTATTTCTTGCATCCCACTCAGTATTTCCATGGTTTTGAAACTGGGTTCTGCACAGCTGCAGAGTTCCACAGAGGTGTCCTGAGACCACCACGGGGAGCAGAGAAATAGATGCATGCGGAGACATCCTCCCCCTAAATGTGCTTCAGTCAGATGGGTTCTGAATTCTTCTATTTATTGTGATTTGTGTAAGCTTTTTTTTTTTTTTTAAAGGATTCTGCCAGATAGGAAAAAAATTTGCAGTAGACACTGTCGAATAAATGAACAAAACTATACCCAATGTCTCTAATGCTTTCTCGATTCAGATATAATGAAATCCAATGATTAAAAACAAGGAGCAAAGGTTCAGAGAGTGCCTGTCAATGAAAGAACATGGTCAAAACAGAGGGCCCTTTCTCCTATCCTGTACTGACCTTTTTACAGTAAGATTTGATAGAAGCCTCTGGAGCCGTGAATGAGTTCTGTTTAAGGTGTTAAACAGAAGCACGCTGGCTCGGGTTCTGCTCTGGTGTGTGTCCATGTACAGAAGCACACCTACCATGCTTTGATCTCAATGTAACTTCAGGGAAGTTGGAAGGATTAGAAACCCCGCTGATGTCTCTTGATCCCCACCCCCACTCCTCTCCCCCAAATAAATCTACTCTTCCTTCAGTCTGCCCCACCACTGTAACTGGCACTGATATCCACTCTGTTGCTCAGGCTAAAATTCTAGGAGTTTTCCTTGATTTCCCTCTTTCCTTCACTACGCACACCCGATTTATCAGTAAGTACTCTCGGGTCGTTCGGAAGCTGGTCACTGCTCCCCACCATCCACTGCTACCAGCTGCTGTGGTTCAGGGCATCGTCATTTCATACCTCCCGTACCGTAAGGCCTCTTCTCTGGTCTCCCACTGTCTGCCCCCTCCTCCCTATTATCCATTCTCCAGGCAGCAGCGAAAGGCATGTTTAAACCTCTTCCTATTCAAAACTCTCAAGGTTTTAAAAACTCGAACTCCTAACTGGTAAAAATAACCTAGCCGGCATTTATATTTCCCTCCAAATGAAGCCAATTTGCTCATCCCGATCATTTCCCACTGGGAAGTTTTCCTTTCATTAGGAAAGAAGATAAATTAGTAGGTGACCGAGCAGAGAGATGGAAGGACTGACACATCACTAGAGAACAGAAATGACTTACGGCTTCAGATTTGGGAGGCACTGGAGGTGGAGGTAGGGCAATCTCTGAAGACTTCATGGCTACTCCCAGAGTTCCGGGCACAGGAAGAGGAGAGGTCGCACATTTGGACCGGACGGACCCTCTAGACTGATCGCATCTGCTCTTCTCGCTCAGGGAACGCGTGAGAGGCTGATGGCTGGGCTTGCCGTCCTCCAGCCAGAGCTCTTCATAAGGAAGCTCTGACTTCCCGGGGATGCCTGCCGATTCTTCACCGGATTCCGGGAAAAGGTAGTCGCTCCCACTGTCACCCAGGTCCTGATAGGGCAGGATGTCATGAGGAAAGGGGGCCCACTCGCCCCCCAGGTCCCTGCAGCCATGGAGGTTCACCTCACTGTTGCCATGGAGATTGTTGCCATACACACAGACGGAGAGCCGGTGGAAGGACTGGGTGAGCTCATCGCGGGCATAGCTAAGAGAACTGGGCACGTGGTTGTGGCCAGAGCACCGGCCCTTCTTGGGGCTCTTGCAGTCCTCATTCCAGTCAGTTTTCACATCTCGGACAGCCCGGGAATACTCGTCGATGTCGAACTGTTCTTGGCAGATACCCAGCCAGTGATGGACCAGGGTCTCGGGCCACACGTCTCCCTTTACCAAGTGTTCTGGAAGGCTAAACTTGGGGACCGACAAATGCAAAGGGAAGTGCATGGGGAGGATCTTGTTGTTCCGCAGCACACAGCAAACCACCACTGTCTTGGTCTGGATGTTCACAAACTTGTAGCGATGCCCCTCGCGGATGAAGTGGAGGTCGTACGGGTTCCTGGGTGGAGGGCTGGGCACAGTCACGTTCACGGGGAGCCTGGTTTTCTCCACAATGTTGCGGATGGTGTGTTCGCCCTCCTGCATCTGAAGTTCCAGGGGACTCCGGGTGCTAAATCTGCCCTTGCACTGGAATGGCAGGCTAATGCTTTCATTGGTCCGATGATTCATGCAGATCAGGCATGGCATTTTGCCTTTTCCCAGCTTGCTGATGGAATTGAGCTTCCCGATCTTTTTGAAAATTGTGTTGAGTCGTGACTTTTCCTTGAAAGTCTTTGCGTACAAGATTTCTGCCTGCCCCATGAGAGTGAGTTCATCCCCAGTACAGAGGGTGATGTTATAAACTTCGGTGTCCTCGTTGCATTCACCTGAAGCAACCTACAATAGGATAAATCAAGTTTGAGGTGAGTTGCCTTTAGTCCATTCCCACAGAGAAGTGGAGAACCTCCCAATAAGACACACAAGCACGCATACAAAAAGGAAAATGCTGTTCCCATACTAAATTTAGCCACTCCGTTTCTTTTATAATGTTTATATGGCTAACAGTAACAAGAAGATATTTGTTTAGACTTGTAAAAACACACTTTGTTCTGAAGAAATGAGCAGTCTGTTCATGAGGAAAAATTTGGGAAATACGGAGAAAAGACACAAAAAGAAAATAACACCCACGGGCCTGATTCAGAAATAGGCACGGTTAATGGTTTGATAAACATTCTTCCAGTTTCTTTGTCTATGCAGAGTAGCCTATCATGTGGATAATCATTTTGGGACATTACTATTATTATTCTCTCTTCCAGTTATAAAAAAAAAAAAAGGCTTCCATGAACACCACTGTGGAAAATCCCTTATTTTTTTTTTACTATTAAAATTTTATGAAATTTTCTAAAATTGGAATTGGGACAGAGGATGTAAAAATGTTTTATTTCTCCCTGTTCTTTAATTTTATTATACAAACTATTCATGTTCACTGGCAAAAATATTAGAAAATATAAATGTAAAAATGAGCAAATTCTATGGTCTTGCCACTAAAGAGAATCTGTATTAACAATTTTATATAAATAGAGAAAAAGAGAAATAGATGTGTCATCTATCTTGGAGATATATAAATACACATACACAATTTTGTTGCTTTGTTTCTCACTATATTCATTTTCTCGTGTTTAAGTATAAGCGGTCGGTTGCCAGTACTGACCTTATGTATTTGATTATCTGGGCATAAGCCTTAATTTATCTGACTAGCTCCTTATTGTTAGACAGATGGCTTTTCCCAATGTTTAGCAATTATAAATAGTACTGCAATGAATTTTTTTTTACAGTTCAACTATTTCCTTAGGAGAAAGGCCCCGAAGTAGAATTGCATGGACAAAGCTATAGATATGTATTTGAAAGGTCTAATATGTATCTCCTATTGTGCTTCATCAATGTTACACTTATTTATACTTCTTCCACTTCATGAAATTATCTGTCTCTCCATACCCATGCTAAGTAAGTTTAAGGTTTACCGATATTAAAGGTAAAGCATGCATCCTGCATTTATTTATTCATGTTTTATTTTGATTTGATTTATTTATTAGGATAGTTGAATGTATTTTGGTATTCATTTATCTGGCCATTTAGATCTCCTCCTTTGTGAACGTCTGTGCCATTCACCCATTTTTCTATTGGGATGGTCATCTTATCGATTACTTTTTATGTCATGTGAATGTCATTTATGCTATATATTTTCCAATTTGTTGGGTGAATTTCAACTTTATAACTTCTTTAAGTGCTAAAGTTTTTTCTTCCTATGTGGCAAACATTTTCAAAAATTTTTCTTTGTAATTTCATCCTTGGGTGGTATGCTTCTACTAGTTGAGATGATATTATCAGTGGTTCTGAGTTAGGGGTGATTTTGCCCCCACTCCCCAGCCCCTGGGGACATTTGACCATGTCTGGAGGCATTTATTGGTTGTCATGGCTGGGAAGGTGCTACTTATATCTAGCAGGGAGAGGCTAGGTATGTTGCTAAACATGGTACAATGAACAGAACAGCCCCTCACAGCAAAGAATTATCTAGTCCAGACTTCAGTTAGTGCTGAGGTTGAGAAAAACTGAGATGATTAGCCAATATTTTCTTCTAGGATTTTGATGGTTTCATTTATTAACTATTTAACTGATTTAATTAAAATTTCTTTGATGGACTATTAAAGGTAGAGGTCTAACTTTAGTTTTTTTCTTGAAGATTTATTTATTTACTTGAGGTGAGGAGGGAAAGAGAGAGACAGTCTTAAGCAGACTCTGCGCTGAGTGCGGAGCCCAACACAGGGCTTGATCTCACGACCCTGAGATCACAACCTGAGGGGGAAGCAAGAGCAGGATGCTTAACCTATCGTGCCATCTATGCACCCCCAACTTTAGTTTCTTAAACAGTTAACTGACTGTCCAGTATACTTCTTAAATAACTATCTCTTTTCATCACTGATTTGAAATGCTACTTTGATCATGTACTAAAATTATAAAACACATACACATTTGTATACTTATATTTGCATCTACTGTGAGACCATTTATCCAAATGACCTTTCTGTCTATTTTCTCATTTTAACTATACTGCTTCAGTTCCTACATCTTTATCTTACATGTTCAGATCTGAAAACAAAAACCCTCATTTGTGGTTATTCCAATTCAAAAAGTTTTTGGATGGCAAGAAACAAGAGAAACAAAGTCAAAAAATCAAGTAACGGTCTGAGAGAAAATATCTGCAGTATCTCCACAAGAGTGAACCTCCCTAATACATAAGCAACTTTTAAAAAATGACCAAAACTCCTCCACAAAAACAGGTGAAAGTCATGAAATATCAATTCACTAAAAAAGGGCACACAACAGACTTCAAATCTATGAAAAGACGTTCAACTTCTTTTATAATTATATTATAATTATAATTAAATGAAAATTATACTTAGATACCACTTCTTTATCTAGAACACTGATAAATATTCAAAAGCCTGACATACTCAGTGGGTGAGGCTCTGGGGAAACAGGCACTCTTGTTCATAGCTGGTAGAAATGCAAAATGATACAAGTCCTATTGCAGGGAATTTGGCAATACCTAACCAAACTATGCACACGTTTATCCCTCCATTCACCAATCCTACTTCTAGGAAATTGTCCAAAGACATTCCTCCAACAGTGTGAAAATACAAATGCGCCAGGTTATTCATTGTAGCATTATTTGTATTTGCAAAATCTTAGAATCAAACTAAATGCCCAAACACAGGAGATTGATTGAATAAACTATGATACAAACACAAAATGTATTACGCAAAAAAGAACAAGAATGATGAGTTCAATGAATTAACAGGAAAACGACTTTCGGGATATATTAAGTAAAAAAACAAACAAAAAAACCCCCCAAAACCAAAGTGCATAAAAGCTTATATGGTATACTACACCTTTGGAAAAAATCAGTATATATTTTTCTGCTTATTTTTGTAAAAAAAAAAAAAAAAGGAATACAAGAAAAATAAACCAGAAAACAATGAAATTGGTACTTGAGGGAGGGAGGAAACTGGTGGAAGGGAGTGATAGCTCTGTGAGTGTACCTAGCTATAGAGTTTTGATGTTTAGGAGGTAAGCCAATGTTCTAACATCTTCAAAAGATAAAATTAAGTCAACAAAAAGTTAAAAGAAACTGAAAGCTAAATGCAAATGGAAACAGATGAGTCCAATCTTATTGCCAGTAAATAAACTAACCACACAGGGGACAGAGACAGAGAAATCATCCAAATAACTTTAAAATGCTTTGACTACAAATTGCCAGTAGGGAAAAAAGACCAATAAATATTGTGTTCTTTTTGGTAGATTTGTTTTGCATATGAGAGTGGGTACAGGGATTCTGAAACAACTTCTTATGTATATTGTAGAAATAAAAAATGAGTAAATGTGTTCTTTTGAGAATCAGTTTTCACTGTGGACGGAAGACAGAAACATGGAATTAAGAAAGGTAAGAGGAACTCCATTGGGTATACATGAACACACATCTATTTCTTAGCTTTGTTCTTTCTAAGGGACCAGAAGCAAAGACTCCTCCCACTATCACCGAATATACCTAGCGCCCCAAACCATTCTCCACTAAAAGGAATCATGGCTCCTTGGAGAAATGCCTGATTCCAGGGCTAGGGCAGGAAAGGTACAAGATGAGCTTGAAATACTGTGTTGTGCGGGAAAGTAAAGAAGTGCTCTTAAGATGACAGGAACGTGTCAAAAGGTCACTGAAGCCAGCCTGAACTGGCCTCCACAGGCCAAATCTGGGACGATTTGAGCATCACAATACACAAAGACTGCAATGAATGATAATCTACTGAAGAAAGTAGGAATGTCAAAGTCCATACTGTTAACAAAAATATGGATGAGTGGAAAAAATGAATGGGGGAAAAACTGACAAATGTGGAAGAGTGGTGGGATCCAAGATTGGTACATACAAGAAACATCAACGGATGCTCATTTATAGGATAAGTTTGATTGAGGAGTAGGTTATGTGCCTGGTCTTAAAGTGTCTTCTCTCGATGGCGAAGGGAGGAAAAGTAACTAAAGAGTGGAGAAACTGGACAACACCTTGACCAGGTGATCATATTTAATATAACCAGAGAGGCATCCCCATGTGTGTGCCTCTGGATGTGATTCCCTGAGAAGGTCAGGACCTCAGTTACAGAACATTCCACCTAAAAATGCATTACTAGGACCGAATTATCAAGAAATATCAGACAAACCCAAACTGAGAAATACTGTATAAAATACCTGGTACATATTTGTGAAAAACGTCCATGTGATGAAAGATAAGAAAGGTTGAAGAACTGCTCCAGATTAAAGTGAATGAAAGACAAAATGCAACATCAATGCAATGTGCACGCCTGGAATGGATTCTGAACTGAAGGGAATAAATGCCATCAAATACACTCTGGTGGACTATAAAGAGTGTCACATCACTGCTAACTCTCCTGAATGTACCGTTTTTACACAAGAAAACAACCTTATTCTTAGGAAATATACACTGATGCATTAAGGTGTAAAGGGCATAATGTATGTAATTCACTCTGATATTATTCAGAAAAATGTAAGTTGTGTGTCTGCATACCAATGTGTATGTCGGGGGTGGAGGATGAGAAAACAAATGTGGCGAAATGTTAAAAGTTGGTGAATCTGGTACAGTGTCGAGGGAGATCTTCTATCATTCTTGCAATAATTTTTTAAGACTGCAAGTATCTCAAAATAAAAAAATAAAACATGACAACAGGAAAATCTTAGATTTTTTTGCCTATTTTTCCAGATGAACTTCACAATCATTGTCTATGGTTTGAATTGATAATTTTACTGAAAGTGCTTTTACCTGCTCTTTTGGC